GCGCGCAGCTCCCGCGGCCCGCCTGCAGCTCCCCCCCACGCGCAGCTCCCGCACGGTGCACACACACACACACACACACACACACACGCATGCACACACACACACACACCCGCGCAGGCGCGCGCACACACACACACACGCACACACACATATGCACTCTCTCTCTCTCTCTCTCTATGAAACCGCGTGTACTTATGAGGAAAAGAGTGGCTGAAGCCATGAGGGGTTTCCCAGTCGATACCCGATGGGCGGGGCACGTGGACACGGAGAAAAGAGTCAGTGAAGGGTAGGAATGCCCTCGTGATAGGGATGGATACTGGGCACCAAGAAGAAGCGAACAAGGTGGCCCAAGGAAAAGGGAACTTGGGGAAGAACGACCGATCCAAATTGGAGGAGGACCGCGAAGATGGGCCTGCAGGGAGACCGGTTCTGCGTGGATGCAAGAAGAGGCGGTAGGAAGGAATACGGGGGGATTCAAAGATATATGGAGAGGGGTGAGGGGCCAGGAGTCCATGCATTGGAAACGCGAAGACCCGGGTTATAGAGGTCGTCGTGAAGAGGAACCCTGGGGACCTCCGAGAGCTCGATCTCGGATGGAGGATTTGGACCCTTCCTGGTACAAACCCTAAGATCCGACGATAGACGGTTCTGCGGAAGGTCCTTATTTTCGTCGTTATGACGACCGCCGAGTTCCCTACTACGACGTTAACCGAGGACTAGAATCGCTCTACCTCAAAGGAAGGGACGTGACCGGGTTCATAGAGAAGTGGGAGAGTTACGCCTCCCGGAAAAAAGTTCTCAGAGAAAGAGTGGATTGACCACTTCATACAACATTCGAACCCGGAGCTGGACCATGCCATTAGGGCCGTATACCCGTCTGATGGAAGATGGAAGACCTTCAAGAACAGCCTATTGCAGATCTTTGCGTGTGACGACATGATCCCCACAATAGAAGGGCTTCGTCGGGTTGCGAGAGAAGAGCAGGAAAGCCTGGTGGCCTTTACTCGTAGATTCAAATTTGGTGGATCGGGGGATGCTTTCCGAAGTCGACAGGTGYGTGATGTTYATGTTGCACCTGCCTGAGGAGAAAAGCAAGGAGGTCCTAAAAAAGGCCCCAGGGACTCCGTTAATTTCGAAAGGGTCGCCGAAGTGGTCTTCACTGGARGCRGGGTGGACGTGCTGGAGTACATGAAAGAAAGTCTGGACATGGCGCTCCAGAGTATGCGCACCCAAAAGAGCGACGGTCCCCGCGGTACTAACGAAAGGCGGCCTCCTGGGCCTCCCGGCCAACGTTGGGGAGGAGGACCCCTAGGTTGGCGGAACGAACCCCGCAACCAAGGGAGTTGAAGGAACGAGCGAGAGATCGAAGGAAATAGGGCCTCAGAGTGGGGAAATTCCCGATGGAAGGATGCAAGGGATGGAAGATGAGGAGACCCTCCCCAACCTAGGGCCATGGGGGCTCGACCAGAGGTAAGTCAGGCTAGAACGCCATCGCCTCGCGGGCCTCCCGCGGCAACGGGAGCGCCTCCTCAAGTCACTCCCCGCCCTAACAACCCGCCGCCTCGAAGCGGGTGTGTCTATAGCAACGAGGAGGATCACATCAAGCGAGAGTGCCCTTACCTTACGGAAGCCCTAAGGTTGGGAGTGGTGAAATTAAATGAGAATAAGTGGGTGGTTTGGGGTGACGATGGAGAGGCAGTCTCCTTTTATTCCTCGATGAAGGTTAATGTGGACAAGAGGGTAGCCCTCCAAGAGGCAAGATTGGGGAAGAAGCCCGAGGCTGGGAGCACCTCCAACTCATCCCGAGTCCAAATGTAAAAAATCACTAGGAGGCGTGTCCATAAGGGAACCCCAGGTGTCGAGCATCAACTTCGTAGAGACCGAGCTCGAAGAGGAAGAGCCTTGCCTAAGGGTAAGGACCCAGGTCGAGGCAGGGCCGTATAAAGGCAAGAAAAGAGAGACGGCGGGAGGAGGGAGAAGGAGCGGCGATGACGACCAACCGATGGTCGACGCCAAAGGCACAGAAGAGAGGAAGGGGGAAGAACCCACATCACCTAAATCACCTAGGAAAAAGGGGGCGAAAAAGTTCGAGATGAAATGCACTTTGGACGAAATAGACATGGTAGCTCCCCTAGGGTGGACCCTAATGCAGCATATGCAATGCACCCTTCTGGAGTACTTATAGGCCAGCAAGAGCGCTAGAGATGAGCTCCTAAGCATCACCAAGAAGGTGAGGATTCCGCTCGTAGAGGGGCCCACGGTTCCAGGGGATGGACCCGCTAAGGAGGAGGTGCAGTCTTCCCGAATTACAATGGAAAAGCTACCGGCGAGTTTCTTCTCGGAAGAGGAAACTAACAACTTCTATGTGCTAGGGAGTGACCAGCTCCAAGCAGTGGTCAATGGAAAAAAGATGAGGGTCATGGTGGACAATGGGTCTGAATCTAATGTGTGTAGAGATTCTATCGCGAAGGAATTAGGACTGGAAGTGGATAGAGGGGTGTCCATGTCTATGGTTGTCGCAGATAACAAGCTCCAACCGGCGGAAGGGGTGTGTCACAACCCCTTGATTGAAGTCACAGGGGTGGAAGCCATGATTTCGATTTTCTCGATGAAGGAGTGTTCCTCCGAGTTGATCCTCGGGCGAACCTGGTTGAGCGTGGCCCACGCTACCATGGTCGACCTTCCGGACGGGAGTCAGACACTCTCGATCCAGAGTCCTGATGGGATCCGAGTGGTCCTAAAGACTGTGGACGCCCAAGATGAGCGAAACCGGACCAGTATTTCGAGGCGGAAGGCAGCACAGTCAAGGGTGTGCCAAGTCCATCTAGAAGAATCACCCTTTGCTAATAAGGAACCCCTGGGGGACCGATTAAATGTCGAGGATGTCGAGTGCCAGATTGTGATCAATGGGGTAGGATACGAGAAAGAGGACGAGGAAGAGAAGTTCGGTGGATGCGTAAGGCTGTCTTTTTTGGAGGAATCCCCCTAGCCAGCGGAGTCAAGAAACATAAAACCATAGCGGAGAAAGTGAAGCCCGCTGCGGTCAGCCGGGATAGAACGGAGGAAACTTCAATATCGGAGGAGGAGATTGTCGATATCATCTGAAAAAGGAAGGAGATCGAAGGGCAGAGAATTACAACCGATAGGTTAGCAAAAATGGATAAGGGATGAGAACCACACGAAGGAAGAGAAGGAGTACGTGGCGAAGACCCTACGGGGCTGCGATAAGGCCGTAGTCTTTGGTGACTCGGAGAGAGGGATGATCGACCCGAGGTACGGTAAGCCTGCCCGGATCCATACGATCCCTCACGTACCTTGGAAAGATAGACCCCAGTGGAAGTATGCTCAAAAGGAAAAGGAGGAGATAGTGACCTTCATAAAGGAAAAGATAAGGACGTTCGTCTCCGAACTTGTGAAAGTGTCTATCCAACAAATGGTTCTTTCTGAGAAAAGGAGGTTACAGTAGCAACAACTTGAGGTGGATTCAGAACCTTCAAAGGACCAACGCGGTCACTATAAGGAACGTGGGGTCCATACTTGAGGCGGATCTACTGCCGGAAGGGTCGGCAGGTTGCTCGATCTACTCGATCTGCGATCTCTTCTCGGGTTATGACGAGATTCCCTTGGACAACCAAAATAGACACATGACCTCCATGCACACGCCTCGGGGACCGGTCTAAACGATGGTGGTGCCTACGGGGTGGATGAACAATGTAGCAGTGTTCCAAAGGGCCATAATAGCAGTCCTCAAAAAATTCATACAGGAAAATCTCGCTCTTATCACGAACGAGTTACTGGTGTTTCTGGTGCAGTTGGTGGACGACCTGCCTCCAGACCTCTTATCGCGGTGTGATAGTCGGCCAGACATCGACGTGCTTTCCCAGACGCTTGAACCGCATCTGCTATGGTCCATGACTCCGCGTGTACAGAGCTGGACGACGATAACTGCATCTATCCGTCCCAGGCTCTGTACCTCGAGATCGACGTCACCGATCTCACACTATGGGACCCTATCATTCGGCGAGGGAACGCGCGACAAGAGGAAGAGGAGATCGAAGAAGAAGAGGAGACAGAGGAAGAATCGAGCGAGGATCGTGACGACCCCGATTCCGTCGAGGAAGAGGAGGAGGTTGAAGAAGAAGAAGAAAAACCGACAAAAGAGGAGGGTGGATCGGGTGAGCCGAGTCAACGGCCCGAACGACGCAAGGAGGAGGAGGTGGCAGAAGCACGGAAGCGGCTGGAAAGAGCGGAAGGAAAGCGGTCGATTGAGGAAGGGTTCCCGCCCGACCCGTTATTGNGAAGCGGCTGGAAAGAGCGGAAGGAAAGCGGTCGATTGAGGAAGGGTTCCCGCCCGACCCGTTATTGGGAAATCCGTGGCTCGATCCGGAGCCCCCACGGGAGGAAGACGGAGGCGATGGAGCCGCAGTGGGGGGATTAGGACGTCATGGACGAAGGAGGAGCGAATCGCCGGCTCCGTTTGGTTCCCCTCCCCACCCTGCCCTTCGCCTACGTCAAGATGTGGGCGATCAGGCTTCGTCCCCGGTTGTTATCTCGTCGTCCCCTTGACTTCCTGGTCCCTTCCCGGCTCCTTGGTCGACCCCCGTTCCCCGCTCGATGGTGCCCCTTCCCTCCCGACCTCTTCCACCAACTCTTCGCCACCCGCCTTCTAGTCACCGTCGTTCAACACGCTACCACTCACTCTGTAGTAGACTCTTTTCTTCTCCATGTCCTTCTATTCAGTGCGCACTGGCGGGAATATAACAATATATAAATACATTGTATTGTATTAGGAATGATCCCCGTCTGCAAAAACTATGAGAATTCTCGCACTGCTGTCCGTCGTACCCTTTCTACTTTCTACCCCGACTATATCGCTTCCCTCCCCTATCAATGCGAAGAACCCGTTTCTCTCGCATCCATCGTTCCATCCACTACACCTCCCTTCCCGCCTTCGAGTCCCCGACCATCGATCGATTCATGCCCCCTCTTCCCCAAAATCCTCCACCGCCTCCTCCATCAGTGATTAGATTGCCCTTCTCCGAAAACTTGTAGGATAGAGCCCACGTATGCCACGCTGGATGACTTCCATACTCTTATCATACGGTAAATGGCACGTAGAGAGCTCCGCGTCGTTCATCGATTAGAGGGATCGACACGTGTCGTAATATCGAGCAAGCAGGATCTTGCTCAAGATTGGAAACCCCTGGGTGTCATATATGTGACGAACCACTTTCTGTGCCCCATGATTTTTTGCGCGATGACGGCGAGGGGTCCTGTGACGGGGTTGGTTGGGCAAATTACAGGAGGTGGGATCAGCGGGTAAAATTGCATCGATGTCATTGCTTCTTTTTTTGTTTTGCTTCTTACTTTTCGGTGGTGATGGGCCAGGGCCAGGAAGTCCCGGGGCGGATGGTTGAACACGCGCACCACGTCAGACGCAATTAATAACGGTTGACATTGGTTCTTTCTTGTTCTACTGTGAGCAGGGGGAACGGGAATTTTGGCGCGATGATCGCTCGAGAGCTTTTGTTTTCTTTCTTTTTGAATTTCCTTTCAACTAATGTTGAGCCCCTGAAGGCTTTCGGAATTTTGGATTTCCTTTTTGCTTTTTGGGAATTTTTCGTCTCGTCGGAATTTTCTTTTGCAACTTCGGATTTAGATAGGAATTTAGGAATTTCCAATTGTTGATGCGCGGCGATTCTTTCTTGCGCACACCCTCCTGCGGCAGGAACAAGGTTCTGACTAGACGGCGCCCTTAATCTTGCGTGTAACTGTAGGTTTGGGCGGGCGCCATTGTAGCTGTATCTTTCTTCTCGGTTCCCTCGCCTTCTTCCCGCCCCCTTCTTCTTTTTGCTATGTCTGATTGGCCGACGCGCTGCATGGTCGGACCGATGCGTGGAGAGTGGCTACGTCTTGTGTGTCCATTCAACGGGCAACGGGTTTTGTACAACGCC